ATTTTCAGATGAGGAAACTGAGGCACGGAGAGGTTAAGTAACTTTCATACAGTCAGATGACTAGTCAGTGGTAAGGCTGGGAGTTCAGCTGAGGTGGTGGGTTGCCAGAGCCCAAGCTCTCAGCCTCTGTACTGCATTGCCTGCCACTCAGCCCCAACTCAGAAACTGGCATGCCCTTCTCTTCCTTACTCTAACCAGAAACCAATCAGTCATCTTTCTCTATTATTCTCCCTTAACTAATGCTATTGATTTGCAAGTCCTGTTGACTCCACCTCCCAAATGTCCCTCAAATATGTCTACTTCTTTCCATTTTTATTGTCACCACATGGATCCAAGTCACCTATGTGTTGGCTATAGCCACCTCCTAAGGGTTTCTATGTTTTGATCCTCCACACTCTAGTCTTCCAGGCAGTACCCAAAGTGATCATTTTAGAAATGTGAACCATGTAATATTACTTCCCAGCTCAAAACCTGCCACATTTTTCCTTTTAGACCTTGAATTAAATCAAACTCTTCATGATGGCCTGCCGTGTTCTGCAAAATCTGACCCCTGTCTACTTTTTTGACCTCTTTCCATTTCATGCTTTCTTTATGCCACAGGACAACCTATGTAGTTTTTTGCTGTTCGAGACAAGTGCTTGAACAAGAAAATCTTTCTTGCCTTTGGGCTTTTGCTCCAGCAAATGCCCTCTACTTCTGATAGCCTTCACTCACATAGTTTTTTTCCTGGTAATTCTATAACTTGCCGCTGAGATATCACCTCCGTAGAGGTGTCTTCCCTTCCCACCCCATTTAAGGCAGTTCATCTTCCCTTTCCTGCTTACCATCCATCATACTATATAGCCTCTGTTACTACTAATTCATTCATTCTTTGTTTCCCTCTACTAAAATACAAGTTCTTTAGAGAAGAAACTTTGTCTCATACAACATGGTCTCATTAACACTTCTGATGATGCAGGACCTTTGTAGGTATGCAATAAATATTTAATGATGTATTAATGAAATATTAGAAATTCATGGTGGGACTGAGGTTTTTCTCTCCCCTTCTAAGTAGAATAGCAATTTGAGGTTCTTGGGAAAAGTGATATGAAAGTATAAAAGCACCGTGATTTTATGTACTCAACACTTGAAATAAGAGGGTAAAAAATAAAAATTTTACCAACATTATTTTGGAAATAGAAGCAAAGGAATGTAACTTGTACCACTAAACAAAAACAAAATTAAAAAATCAAAGTTTCTCCAAGATTGCAAAAATAAAGTCCCATTTTCTAAATCCTATTTTTGGAGATGAAATCAAAGTTCTAGATATTGACATCAAATTTTCTAATATTTCCATATTTTTGCATCTCTGTTTCTCCATCTTTTTTCTCTTTGATGCTACAGTAAATTTCTTTGGCTTATTATTCCTAATTTTTAAAGCTTTGGCCATATTTGAATGCATGGGAATCTTTTGGGATTTGTGCATTAACAGTAAATTCACATTTCAGTGGGCTTGTTTGTTGCATCATAGCATTTTCTTTTTATAACTTTGTTCTTAAAATAATACTTAAAATTCACATCATTGTTCAGATCAAGAGTCTGTTCTGCATCTAGAGACACTTAGATAACTTTGCTTTAATGAGATGATAAGGAATGTATCTTAACTTTGGTTTTTACCTTCTTGGAAGTCACAGACTCTTTTAGTAGCCAAGTGAAGACTGTACTCTTGCCTTACCCATAAAACGCACACATAACACACACAGACATGCACACACACGAACACAACGTATACAATTTCAACGGACCTTATGAAGCCCAGTTTTGGATTTCTGGCTTAGTGCTTCAAGGAGCAGTCTCAGCTAAAAGCATATCCATATTCGCTAATCTTATAATCCAAGACAGGGAGGCACACACAAAAGTAAAATTTGCCCACATTTTCACACTTTCCTCCTTGTGGCATTGCCAAGGGCCTTACCCCCAAGTTTGATTCTTGTCTTCATCTGGCTTCTAAGTTGCTCCAGGATAAATTCTCTCTCCTGATCACTGACTACTTGGCTTTCCCTGGTCATAAGATTCATTAAAACCATAAAATAAATCATTGCTTCATATGACCACAGCACATCAGGTAGTTCCAGAACAACTGGTGAGCCTGCTTTGCTTATGCTGGCTTCTCAGTCCAAGGAAAGAGTAAATCTCAGCAATGTGTTCATGTTAGCACTCAGGCTCCTCTGAGTTGATGTCCACTGGGGACCCACTCTACCAAATTCTATGGTTATTTGTTGTTAGAATATTGTTATGTAACAAAGGCAAAAATCTACTCATTTAAAATATAAATACTTTATTTGCTACTTTCCAAATTGTTCTTATTCCACCTAAGAAGATTATTCAAAACTACTCAAAATCTTGAGTGCTATTCACATCATTGGTAAAAAACAATGATGTAAATTGGCCTTGATGTATATTCCAAAGCCAACTTGGCAATATATATATCAAATTCCTTAGAAATGTAGGTACCTTTTGACCAAGTAATTTCCCCTTTGAGATTCCAGTTTAAGGAGATAATATATTTAGTGAAGAGTAACTATAAGGATGTAATCATAGTAGTGCTTATATGAGCAAATAGTTGGAAAAGAATGAGTTGTCCAACAATAAAAAATCAGTTAATTATGCTATGATATAGTTATATTAAATAAATAATGCCCTTAATATTTTAAACATAATGATATAAAAATTTTATAAATTGAGAAAATATTAACAATATTTATAGCTAGGAATCAGGTTCAGAAGCTGTATCTTTGGTAGGATCCTCTTGTGATACAATCACCTTATTCACATCCATTCTAGCACTTCCCCACTAAGGAGCAGCCATGTGGTTTAGGTAGAATGTTCCCTATTCTCAGCTCTAGGAGTCAGCATGGCTGGGTTTTGCCAGTCTTCTGAGTGTGGCAATGCTGATGTCAATCAGCTCGTCCATATTCTCCTGGGTATAGTGGTTGTTTCTCATTTAGCTAAATCCATATGCACATCAAGGCTCTTGATTAGCAGTTTGATATGGGATATGCTCTCTACATATATATTAAAAAAGAAGTACATAGTCTGATTACCTTTGACAACCATCCAACTACCATGAGGAAGACCAGGGTAAGGTTGAAGAATAGCTGAGAACCACAGAGAAATGAATCTGGAGACCTGGTCAAAGAGTATCTGAAATCTTGCCCCTGTAGATGTTTTCAGTTGCAAAACCAATAATTCTTACTTTTTAATTATCCTAGCAAGAGTCTTGTTTTCCACACTTGTAACCCAAAGCATCCTAATTAATAGGGACTCTATTAAAAAAGTGTATTCATATATTACAAAGCTACACAATAAAATATCAATAATAACTGTCCCTTAGAGATAAGATTACCAGTTATTTTTCCCTATGCTTTGTGATTTTTTGTGATTCCAGATTTTCTATGATGAATATATATTATTTTATTCAGAAAAATCAAATATAATAATAAATAGAGTCTGAATAATAATTGTCATCTAAGCTCAAACCATCAGAATTTTAATTCTGAATGGTGACAGCCTAAATGAAATAAAGGGAAATATATTGCTAGTTTTGTTTGTTTGTTTCTTTGTTTTTTACCTTTCAAAGCCAGGAATGCAAAGTTCTTAATTCTAAGACTCTTATTTTGTACATGAGTATATTTTTAAAAATTTAAAAATCTGATTAGTTCAAGATCCATGGAGATTGACATTTGCCTTCCTGCCCCACCATCAGGACACCTAAAATTGGTTTTAGGCATGACAGAATAAACAGTGGGCTTGGGATCCCCACTCCACCATTTCCTGGATATTTGACCTCAGTCAATTACTTAAACTCCCCGAACCTTAGGTTACCTCAGCCAAGAAATACGGGGTTGCAGTTAAGTGAAATAAGCCAAGCACAGAAAGACAAATATCACATGTTCTCGCTTATATATGGGAGCCAAAAAAGTGGCACTCATGAAGATAGAGAGTAGATTGGTGGTTACAAGAGGCCGAGAAGCGTAGAGAGGAGGAAGGTATAAAGGAAGGATGATTAATGGGTACAAATAAATTATTTGAGAGAAGAAAAAGATGTAGTGTTTGACAGATCTGTGAGGTGGCTACATAGCTTGCAATTATCTATCATATAGTTCAAAATAGCCAGAAAAGAATAACTGAAATATTTCTAAAATGAAGAAAATACAAATATTTAAGGTGATGGACATCTCAAGTATACTGGTTTGATCTTTAAAATCATTTGAATGTATTAAATTATCACCACCCCAAATTCGGTACATTTATTATGCATCAATAAAAGTTGTTTAAAACAACAACAACAAAAAAAAGGGGTTGGAACAAATGTCTACCTTTCCATCTGTGAAATTCTATGAGTGACTCTAGATCATGCTTTATATTTGAGCAGAACTGATACTCCCTGCCTGCTTTGGGAAGTATAAGTAGGTTTCAACTCTCATGATAACATTGATTAATTGGTTGCCACCGTCTGCAGAGTGGTGGTAAGAAGGTCTCAGAGTACATACAGTCTCAGCAGGAAAAAGTGCTATGATCTATCAATGACACTGAGGTGTATTTGAATCCTCAGTCTGGGTCATATACACATATTGTACAATGTACCCTGATTTATTTTATTTTTCTGTAACACAGTGTCCAATGTCTTTTAAGAGTGAAATAACTGGGAAGAAATCCTTTTAAAATCAGTCTGCTTCTTTTCTCCTATTCCTTTGCTGTCTCTTAATTAATCATTGGTGGTGTATTGACTGAATAAGAGTTTGACTGAATAAAACTAAAACTTTAGTAGTTGGGGTTTAGAAGGAAATTTCTTGCTTGCTTCTTACACTTGACATTTTCTTGTAGAAGGAGTTGCAAATTAACACTTCCTAGCAAGTTAGGCAATGTCCTAATAGTGGTTCCAAGTATGGGCAGGGTGGTCAGTGAGCTGCTTGTTTCTAACTATGTTCATTTCTTGCTTCTGTCAAACTCATCCATAGTGTGGAACTTCAACAGAAACCAGTGAATAAAGATCAGTTTCCCAGAGAGAGACCAGAGGAGCTGGAGTCAGGAGGCATGTACCATTGCCACAGTGACTCTAGGCACACAGAGAACAGGGTGAATGAGCACGCCTATGCCAAGTGGAAACTCTGTGCTGCTTCAGCAATATGCTTCATTTTCATGATTGCAGAGGTCGTAGGTGAGTCTTTCTGCAGACTTTTTTGATTAAACAAGCAAACAAAACTGCATCATTATGGGAGGGTTACCTAAGTTCTTCTAAAGAAAGAATTAATATTTTCTGTAAGTATAAGATAACAATATGTTCACTGTAGATAAGTTGAAAAATAGAAGGAAACAAAATAAAATTAATCACTATTCCATATTCAAGCAATAGCCTTCAATAACTTTCTGGAGTATTTTGTACAGGCATTTTCTATTCATAGCTCACACGTTTTATTTTTCAAACATAACTGAGAGCACACTGAATGCTTTTGACCATACCATCAAATACTCTTCAAAAACATTTTTATGCCTGAATAATATTCTCTAATATGCTCCACTTTAATTTACATAACCATTTCTCTATTGTTAGAAATTTAGGGAGTTTTTTTCCTGCTTCTGGACAATGCTGCAATGCAAAATCTTAAAGAGAACTCTGCCTGCCTTTCTGGTTAAGCCCTTCAAAGAGATTCCTGAAAGTGGAAATAATTGGTTGAAGGACATGAATATTTTTACGACTTGATTCATATTGCCAGAGTGCTGCTCAGAAAGCTGAACAATTCATGTCAACCAGCTCTACATGAGAATGATTCTGACTCCAAATCTTAACTACAATTTATTTTAATCTCTAAAAAGCTTTGCTAATGTATAGATGAATATTTTATTTTAATATTTATTTCTCTAATTGTTACTGTTAGGCCATTTTTTGCATGCTTATTAGTGATCCATATTTCCCTCTGTTAATGCATTTCCTTCTTGCCTCTTAATGTCTGTTACTCATTTGTTTTTTTAAAAATTTTTAAATTCTCTATATTGATCTCTGGGAGCTCTTTATATATTAGGATATTAGACCTTTGTTTTATTAATTATAAGTGCTTTTCCAGTTTGCTGTTTAACCTTTCAATGTTTGTTTTGACTTAGAGAAGTTTTAAATTTCATACAGGTAGCTGTTTCAAACTTTTCATTTTGAGCTCATTTCTTTTACTACTCTTTTACCATTTTAGTGCTTAACAATCTTTTTTCATCTACTGTGAAGACAGCTTGTTTGTTAATTTTTGCATTTAATTTTTAAATTAATGTGATGTTAGATACACCATGTGCTCTAAAAACTGAATTTTTTTCTAAATAGTGAAAACAGTTTTCAGCATCATTTATGAAATAATTATTTTCCCCATTGATTTTTAATATTTCTTTAATCATTTATTAAAACTTTATAAATAGCAGAGTCTGTTTCTAAGGTGTTTCACTGATCTGTGTTTCTGGTCTCTGTCAAGGACATAATTACTGTAGATTTATATGTTATAATATCTGTTGTTTCCTACTCATGATTTTTAATTTAACAAAGAAAAGGCAAAGCTATTCATCTCTGTTTATTATCCTGATTAAACATGAGAATTGTTCTGTTCAGTTCTCCCCCATACAATTATGATTTTATTAATATTTAAGTTAATTTGGAACACAATATCTTTAAGTATTCAGCTTTCCCTCCAGGAATATGTTATGTTTCTCCATTTATCCAAATATTTTACATGTCTCATCAAGGTTTTACAGTATTCATCTTAATACACGGACAGTCTATTTCTTGCAAGAGCTATTTCTGATTATTATGTGTGTTTGGCTTATTCTTTGCAGGGGTGAGTGAAGTCCACCATTTTTCATGTTTTATTCTCTAGATAGTTACTTTTTGTATTCTGAAGTTTTGATTTTTGTATCTTTTTTTACTCAATTATGTATTTGAATTATTGTCAATTCTAAATATATTTCAGTGCATTTTCCTTTTCCCTTCTCATGCATCTTCCCCATCCCAGGACATCACCCTCTCTTGTGCAGAAAACATATTTCTCCTCATTTCAATACTTATATCTCTTTTGTATGTTTCATGTTTTTATCATGTTAAACAATATGTTATGCTAAATCAAATCTATGTTTGATCAATTGGCTGTTAAGCAAAATGCTTCTTGAAGGTTTAAGTGTTTTGAATTATGTTAATGAAACGTCTCTTTGTTTCAGTTTTGTAATAACTAACAAAGAATCAAGGATGAATGTTGACTTTTAATCAAATACCTTTTATTTTAAATGTATTGTTTTTTAAAGCTTTTTGACACATGGTTGAGGTGTATTATATTAAGAGATTTCCAGACATAATATGATCTTTGCATTTTTGGCATTATGATAATAGCTATTATTTATTTAATGCTCACTACGTGTTGGAAACTGTGATGAGTGTTTTGAGACCAGCCTGGCAAACATGGCAAAACCCCATCTCTACTAAAAATATAAAAATTAGCTGGATGTGGTGGCACATGCCTGTAATCTCATCTACGTGGGAGTCTGAAGCACAAAAATTGTGCAGGAACCCAGGAAGCAAAGGTTCCAGTGAGCCGAGATTGCGCCACTGCACTCCAGCCTGGGAGATAAAGTGAGACTGTATCTAAAAAAACAACCTTTTTTTTTTTTTTAATTGGCTCCCCTTTGCTTCATTCAGGGTTTATAACCTTTTCCCCCTTGTGACAAGCATAGCACATTTTTCTGAGCACTGGGATAAACTGACAAGGGTGTTTGTGGAAGAGACTGCTTCAGAAGCTCCCACTGTACTACACCCTAACTGCTTGCCTCAAGTGAAAAGAGATCAATATATTGAAAAGCTTTAGCATCCTGGACAAAATAAAAAATTCTTATTTCGGCTTTCAAGACGTTGCATAATCTGGTGGCAAAACTATCAATATTCTTGTCTTGCTATTTCCCTGGCTACCCTGTTTCAGCCAAATTTATTTATTCATTCTCTACAAAATAATCTTTGCACTTTACATTCTTATGCTTTCTTTCTTTGACTAGAAAAGCTTTCTCTTCGTTCTCCATACTCATCAAAATACTGGCCATTAGTCAAGACCCTGATCCATAGCTCGCCTCCTCCCCAAAGCCACTTGTACCTATGTTAGAGAAAGCAATTTTTACTCTCAGATCACTTTTGAAAATCTGAGAGGTCCTCCTGCAGGAGATGGGGTTTGAGCAAGGCCTGGAAAACTGGACAGGAATTGAGAGATGGCCAAAAGGTAGATGGAGTAGCCTGAAGGAACAGCATACTACTTACTGCCATGATCCAGGAGATACATATTTATCAGGGCTTGCCTTGAAAGATTCCGAGTGGGTGGGTTTGAAACAGGACAGGAAATCCATATTCCTAGAAATTTGGGAGCCACTGTCTGTAGTAGACTGGCATTTTCTGTTCAGAAGCTTTTTCATATTCTTTTCTCTGGTTTCAATTTTGGTCCTCCTGGTCTGAGAACCTCATGCTCTTAGGCTGGGATGGATGTGAGATATCAAGCTGGACAGATCAGAGTCTCTGGGTCTTTATATAAGGAGGATGGAAAAAAGGTTTCTCTCTTTCCTTTATAAAAACTGAGCTGAAGTGATACAGGTCTGGAGCTTTTAGAGTGCTACCTTTATTGCTGAAGTGGAGGAAAAGTCTTTCTTCAACTGGACAATCAATAGCAATAGCAAGAGACAGAGCAGGACCCCAAGAATATTTTTTGAACCTTAGGACAGGGCTGCATCTGATCCAATCCCATCCAGATTTGTTCTCAGTTATATGAGCCAATATACTGATATATTATTGTTATTGTTATTGTTTAAGCTAGTCTGGGTTAGGCATTTATGACTTACAACTGCAAAAGCCTATCCAAGGCAGGGGTGTAAGGTAAAATGTGATTAATGAAGAACATAACTAGAATGGTAGTTGGGTCAAGAAGAGCTGAGGCTCAGCTGGGGGATAGGATTCATTCATAGACCTTGGGGAGTAACTGACACTTCGGATGAGGGAGAAGCAGGTCATAGAGTTGTGTTTAGGAAGATAATTTGCAACAGAGTATAGAGCAGTTTGGAGAAGGAACTAAAGAAGGATAACTCTTAAGGGACCTTTGAACCTGTTGAACTGGGACTCTTTCTGATTGCTTGTGAAAATTCCTAATTGTAGAAAGGCCAAAAAGAGGGGTTATGTTGCAGACGTAAACATCTGTCTCTATTTGAATGGATACATGCTCAGATGCTGAGAACGCAGAAGAAAAATAACCTCAGGTATGGCCTTTGCTGGAAGAAGTTGAGAGTGGTTAGGGGAGACAGCTGAAGCAGGACTATTCAGAGTTGAGCAAGAACAGAGAAAACACTAGGTTATCAGACAGGAATTCAGAGCAGGGAGCAGGCTGGGGAAGACGGTAAGTATCTGAGTGAAAAACTTCTCTTTTACTAAGAGAAAGATATTGCTGGGTGGTGTGATACAAGTTTTATTGATGAGGGCACTTACCTTGTTCTACAGCCAGGGGGTTTCAGTAACTTAAGACCCTTACATTTTTGTAGGTCCTGGTATTAACATTTTAAGAAATGTCAGATCATGGCCGCGAGAACTGTAATATATTTTAAACACAGTAAGTCCTCACTTAACATTGTGGAGAGATTCTTGGAAACTTTGACACTCAATGAAACGACATATAACAAAAACCAGTTTTACCATAGGCCAATTGAGAGAAACGAGTTAAGTTTCCATGCCGTACTGGTCACAAAACACCCTCAAACTTCTAAATAAAGGCCCAAACACTTCGATTATTAAACACTGAATTAAACATGAGGTGTACAGACATCTAAGAAAGATGATAAACACAAGTGAGATAATTATGCCGTATGGGGTTCATCAGTGAGTGAGGGTGGTTATAATGGTGGTGGTTACATCAAGGAATAAATGTTTGCAAAGTGGAAATTGTCAGGAGTGCCTCCTGCCGCCACACAGTTCAAACCCAAAAAGATAAAATGAGCTGGGCTTGCTGAGCACTTTCATACCATGTCCTTTTTGTTGGGCGTCCGTATGATGACCATTTACCTTACATATATTTATTTTACAATCATTTGTTTTCATTCATCTTTTTTGAACACACTTATTCCAGTTTCATAGCTGGAGCCTGTCCCAGCAGCTCAGGGCTCAAGGTGGGAAACAGCCCTGAACAGGAAGCCTCCCATCACAGGGTACAGCCACACCCACACTCATTCCACCAGGACCATGTAGACGTGCCAGTGAACCTTATGTGCACAGCCTTGGCATGTGGGAGAAAAACCCTAGTACTCAGAGAAAGCCCATGCAGACATGGGGAGAACATGCAAACTCCACACAGACAGCGGCCCTGGTCAGGAATCCATTTCATTTACTTATCAACGTTATAAACAAAGGAAGTTGAATGAAATGATGTTATTTGAGGACCTGTTGTACTTATTGAATAACTCAATGGGTTTTTAACACAACATATGCTATAGTATCATAATACTATTCACAAAGTAATTAAAGAATTTTTAAAATGTGAATTAATAGCATACAACTGTGTAGCCCAGCAATGGGACACACGGCTAACATTGTCAGATAAAGAGTTACTTCTTTCATTGCTGCCAGTAAGTCTCTGTTCTCCATGGAAACCCGCATGGGGAATTAACACCATCTCAATCAGAGGTGGTTTGTGAGACCCACGCCCCACAGTTCCTCTGTTCTCTTGCTGTCACCTCACCACACAGGCCTTAAGTAAAGTCTCCAGGATGGAGTCTTTTCTGTATGTCTCTTATCTGGTTATAAGTGTACTGCTCTCCACATCTTGCCAAGCATTCCAGAATTATGACTGCTACTGCCTTAGTTCATGTCTTTATCATAGTTTCCCTTGGCTAACACTGTTGAGTCTTAACCTCTAGCTCCTCCTCCCTCCGAAGTCATCCTTCATATTGCTGGCAAAGACTTCTCTCTTAAATACAGATCTCAACATGCCACAGCTTTGCCTAAAAATAGTAAGTAAATCCCGTTAGTCATAGAATCACATTCAAACCCGACATATAATACCCCACACATGTGTTTCCAGCCTGCCTTCCCAGTCTCATTTCCCATTTTTCCTCCAGCACTCCATACCTTCAGCTTTTCCTGAAAGGTGCTATGTTCTCTCACTTCTCTATTTTTTGTCCATGCTTTTATCTCTTCCTGAGAAATCCTTCTCTTTTTGCTAATTCTTACCCTTCTCTTTGTGAAAAGTTTCTCACTCCTCCCAGTGAGAACAGCTCTCTGATCCCTTAGCCCATTAACTTGTTTCTGGTACAGGGAGTGTTAAACAAGAAAATCACTGACGACAGGCTGTGATTTGTTTATCTTTGTATACCCAATCCCTGGTACCATGCACGGTAAGGGCTCAATAAATATTGGCTGGATAATTGAATTAATTGTCAATAATATGCCATGCTTTCAGAAGCAAATGCAAGATTAGTCACAAACTACCTCTTGCAAGCAGTTTGCTCTATTCATCAGTGATTGACCACAGTTTTCTGGATGGCTCTCATAAGTAGCTCTGATGGTTGCAAAATGGTTCTCAGTTTCTAAGCCTCCATAGTAACATGCTTCTTCCAAAGCAAGCCCTTTTTCTTTCTCAGGTGCCTCCTGCCTCAGCTGAGACTCTGTAAGACTGATTTCATTTCCTTGACTTAGGCTGTATTTCAGCCCAGCATGTAGAATCACCATCACTCATTGCTGTGATTGCAGCATACTGCTTATCTGCATGGAACTATTCTCCAGGCAAGAAATAATGCCTTATTAATACAGTTTTATCATCAGGGCCAAGTTTGGCAGATAGAGCAACATTAGAGGATAATTGGAAGGACAGCTGATTTGTTAGCAAAATGTTGCTTTTTGGCTAATGAATCATTCTGATTTTTGCACTGACTGTTCAGTAACAAGCTTGAAGATTACTTTGCTTCAGCCCATTAAACCCTGACAAACCAGTTATTAACTACAGCTAGAGCCAATGGCCTGTGGGGATTATCGCAATTATGAGCCATCTATGTAATTTAAAAAAATCATTAGGCGAGACAAGGTGAGTCTCATGATGGCGGGGCTGATGGCTGACAGTCTCTGCTATTTTGTGGTACATGAGGCAATAAACAGCTGCAGGGAGAGCTAATCAGTCAGCAAAAGCCCTTTGCTGGGAAGATGTAGTAAAAGCAATAAAGGTTGTTGCTCTCAAACAACAAACCATGTCTGGGGAGGAAAGGGCAAGGTTTTCTTTAACTTCTATTTTGGAGGCTGGAGGTCTTTTCTCAAAAAATTAGAGGGAAATAGAGGGGGTACATCAAGTAGAGAGGAAAGCAAGGCAGTATTCTCATGGCTCAGATCGCATCCCCATGCTTTATTGGATTGTGGCACTCAAGACGGCCATTGGAAGGTATGTGCCCTTTCTCCTTTCTGCTCCCTATTATTTATTACAGGGGTTTTAAGCTCAGATGGATAATATAAATTAATAGAGAAAAAGGAAAGGGTAAAGATGATGATCAAATTATAAGTCAAATAAAAACACACCTGTGGGCCAGATCGCAACATCTAGTTTGTAAACCAAAGTCCATGTCCTCATTCTGGTTATGGGAATCTTTGAATCTGGCCCACACTGCTTCAGCCTGATCCTCTTGTATTCTCCTCTTTTGAATCCTTATACCTCTGTCTAAGGTGTTCTCCAGATGTGCTGCCCCATACTTTCTAATTTCTGTCTTTGCTACCCCAGGAATGACTTCTCCTTTGAAATTCACTTTTACATGTTCAAATCATATCTACTTTCTGAGTCTCAGAAGTAGTGAACTAAATCACCTTTAAGATCTCTTTCTCCTCTAAAGTTTTGTGAGTCTGTGGCATTTTCACCCATGACGGTTAGCATGTCTGATTCTAGTTGCATTCTGGGGCCTTAACACAGTGTACCATTTTGCATTCTCTAGGTGGACACATTGCTGGGAGTCTTGCCGTCATCACAGATGCTGCCCACCTCTTAATTGACCTGACCAGTTTCCTGCTCAGTCTCTTCTCCCTGTGGTTGTCATCGAAGCCTCCCTCTAAGCGGCTGACGTTTGGATGGCACCGAGCAGGTACAGTTCACAGAGTGAGCAATAACACCAGGAGGGTGCTGCAAAGTCATCCCAAGGGTAAAAATGGAAGATACAAAGCAAAACTTTGTTGTAAAATCCCTTAGAGAACATTTCTAACGCACAGGATAAAACAACCGTGTATATGGGAATGTGTGTTTTCAGTATGAATTCAGGTAACAGACAGATTAATGGTGCTATCTGTAGGACAACAGGAACACGTATATCACTTCGGCAACCACCCCAGCATCAGGGATTCTGCACATGGTGACAGACATGACACAATTCATTAAATTACTCTGTATCCCTGGAAGAGAGGATAAGGTTAAAGCTTCTGCCATATTGCAAAATGAGGCACAGAGCATCCAAGACAGTTATAGAGATTGAAGAACTTCTGATAGGGGATTCAGAAATAGAATATAGGCTTTCCTGCTCACACATTGCATTCAGCCATTCAGTGAATGATTCAGCTGAATATCTTACTCAATCAATAATAATGCAAAAAAGAAGGAGGAGAAGGAAGAGGAGAGGATAAAAGTTTACTTTTTCTCCTTTCTTGCAGCTGGTTTCTTCACTCAGTAGCTGCTTACTCTTGCCTAGGAAGTAGCCAAGGTCACCATAACGTGTGTGTGTGTGTGTGTGTGTGTGTGTGTGTTCATTCTTTATTGCTCAACTGATTCTTGTAAAAGGATGAAAGCAAACATGCTGAAACATGTGCTTGAGCCTTGCCTGCCATTTATTGAATGTGGTTCATATGTTCGTCCTTAAATAATTTCACAACAATGGACAACATTCTGATGAAGAAAAGGAGAGAAGAAGTCTAGTGCAAATTACAGCCTTCTCAACTAATAATTATGGCGATTTCAAATAACGTGTATGCACTAAAGCAGACAGAAATAATGAGGTAGCATAAGTAAACAACTTGGAGGTCTCTAAATTTGGTACGTAATCACTTGGCTGCATGCTTTTTTAAATCTAAATTTTAATAAGTTCTGGAGCATAGTTTTGTTACATAGGTCAACGTGTGCCATTGTGGTTTTTGCATCTACCAACCCATCACCTATGTATTGATGAGGGTTTTTACTTTGACTCATTTTTACAATCCCTCCCTTATCCGCCCCCACAATCCCACACTCTGCAACTTCAATTCTCCCTCTCTGTGTTATTCTATTAGCTAGGGCTTCTGGCTGAATATTTTGTGCCCACAATTCCAACGTTTTCACAGCGGTTGAGAATATCAGTGAAGAGGAAAGAGAGCTGAGCAAGGGTGGCCAGCCTTCACTGAAAGAGCTGCTAGACACAGATCACAGCTTGTAGACTGACACCTGTGGACTGTGGTTTTTCAAGTTTAGAATGGCAGGAAGTCCTAATTTCATACGAAACAGTTGATCATCACAGGTGTTTTGACTTGCTTTCCTTTAACATTCAGGAGATGAGGCAATAAACAGCAGTAAAGAGAGCTAGTGACCATGTGATCCGAGAATGCTTTTGCTAGTCCAACAGTTACACTTGAAAAACATGAACCTCTGGCTAAGAACCCATTATTTGTCTGTATGAAGTTTTACATGTACTTGACCCTTTCTGATGCCATTTGTCAAAGCAGTTTTGTAAACGTAGGATGGTGTGAAAACAGGGTGAACGCAGAATTTAGATCACTGCTTGTACTTCGGCATCATGGCCATGGCAGACCCTGAGCTGTTAATACAACTCTCTGCTGCAAGGGCAATATTCTATAATACACAGTATAATGTAGCTACCATGCACTTTAAATGCAGCTAGTGCTACTGAAGAATGAGATTTTTAAATTTACTTCATTTCATTTTAAACAGCAATACATGATTGGTGGCTACCATATTAAATGGCACCTCTATAAATATAGAGGTGAGTCTAACACATTCATATCCAACACACCCTTAATCTGGCCAACCCAATGATCCCAGCTTAGCTAAATTTTTTTTTTTTTTTTAAATAATCATGGTAGCATTTACCAACGATCCTCACGGGTCTCCTGTTCTAATTAGTTACTTTTGGGTTTCTGACTCTTCGTTCTGTCCTGAGATTTGACTCCTGACTCTTGCCCTTGGTATTGAGCTTTACCCCTGCAGCTGTTTTCCCACCGTGCTTCCTGACCATGGGTTTTGAGTTAGACATGCTCCATTTTATGAAAGTGGATTTGGATTTTCATGGGTAGGAAGCACAGTACCTGACAGCCACAAGTCAATCTTCATTTCCGGCTAACTAGAAATTCTTGGGCCTGGTCCTCAAACCTCTGCAAAGGTGAGTTTTAAGTAGCCTCAGGAGACTCATAAAATAACAATTCCTTGAGTGTTTGCTATATGTTGTATTAGGTTCCTAGGGCTGCCTTAATAATGTACTACAAATTGGGTACATTATTTTGGGGGGTACATTATTGGGTACATTATTTATTTTTATAACAAATTATGAAGGTTGTCTATAAATGACTGAAGTCTGGGAAATAATTGCCACACACTGGGTTATAATACATGACATTACACAAATTTGAATAAAGTTTTGTTTAAACAACAGACATTGTCTGATAGTTATGAAAAACAGAAGTCTGCAACAAGGGAGTCAGCAGGATTGGTTCCTTCTGAGGTCTGTGAGGGGAAATCAGTTCCAGGCCTCTCCCTTAGCTTCTGGTGGTTTTCTGGCAAACTTTGTCATTCCTTGGCTTATAGATCTCTGCTTTAATCTTTATATGGCATTTTCTCCATTTGTATGTCTGGGTTCAGGTTTCCACTTTATATAAGGACACCAACCATATTGGACCCATCCTACTCCAGTATGACCTCATCTAAAAGAACTTCATCTGCAATAATCCTATTTCCAAATAAGGTCACAATCTGAAGAACTGAAGATTAGTTCCCCTCCTCCTCCTCCTCCTCCTACTCCTTCTTCTTCCTTCCTCTCCCCCTCCCCTTCCTCTTTTTCTTCTTCCTTCTCCTCCTCCTCCATCTTCTTCTTCCTCTCCTTCCTTCCTTCCTTCCTCCCTCTTTCTTTCTCTCTCTCTCTCTCCTTTATTTCTTTCTTTATTCCTTTCTTTCTTTTCTTTTCCTTCTTTCTTTCTTTTTCTTTTTCTTTCTTTCTCTCTCTCTCTTTCTTTCCTTCCTTCTCCTTCTTCCTCTTCCTTCTTCCTCCTTCCCCCTCCTCCTCCTCCTCCCTTTCTTCTTCTCCTTCTCCTTCTTCTTCTATAGAATCTTGCTCTGTCACCTAGGTTGGAGTGCATGCAGTGGCACTACCTCGGCTCACTGCAACCTCCCCTTTCCTGGTTCAAGCAATCCCCCTGCCTCAGCCTCCGGAGTAGCTGGGATTACAGGCATATACCACCACGCCCGGCTAATTTTTTTGTATTTGTAGTAGAGACAAGGTTTCACCATGTTGGCCAGACTGTCTTGAACTCCTGACCTCAGGCAATTCACCTGCTTCAGTGCTAGGATTACAGGTGTGAGTCACCGTGCCCTGCCAAAGATTAGTACTTTAACATATAAATTTGGGGGAAACACAATTCAACCTATAACAAATGGCAACTTGTTATACATATATTCTATTATTATAATGCACATAGATAAGAAAATTCAGGCTCAAATAGGTTAAGTGACTTGTCTAAAGTCACATAGCCGGTCACTGGCAGGCCATGTACATCTGACACTTGAGCTCATGCCTTAAATATTTGCATCAGCATTTCTCATAGTGTGAGAAATGTTTCACAGTTGATTAGTCAGATAATTTTAAGTGTCACATAGACAATAATTACACATCCTGATACACATTACAAAATAAACTAGCACATCAAATATGTAATTTCATGGATAACATTGTTTGTGAAGAAGCTAAGTGTAAAAAGTGAATTTATTTGAAAAAAACATTGAGCAGCTAATAAGACAGGTAGCATGTGGATATGGAAAACGTTATGATGGTTGTCTATAAATGGCTGAAGTCAGGGAAATAATTGCCACACACTGGGTAGTAATACATTACAAAGCCCCGCTTTAAAAGGAAATAATCTCTGGGATTAGCTTAATGTGGGGAAGGACTAAATGATGGATTGTACCTGATCACTGACTCACAGAATGTTTCTAGACCATTTTGGGTTTTAGAATCTATGTACGAGTTTGAATTAAAGGTCAGAGTGAGGTGTTAAAGAACTTCTGAGTGAGCAAATGAACTTTCCTCAGTGGGCAGATTGAACACCATTTTATCTTTACATACTGATGTCAACATTTCCATTCTGATGCTTGTTTTTCTTACTATTGCTCTTAAAATGCAGTCAGAGTGTTAGTAAACCTCTGAGCTCACCTCTGTGTTTATCATGTGTTGCATTGGCAAATAAAACTCATTTTCTTCAAGTACTCTCTGAAGCTTTCCCTTTTCACTATTTTATTCCATTGAAGGTGCTAGCACTGGCAGGTTGTAAATGTTTTATGGTGAAATTAAGAGTTTCTAAACACATTTTACTCTCTATGTCTCATTATTTTATCTCCTAATAAGTTTCAATCATTTTAGCACCTGTTTAAATTAAGATCCCCAAGGAAAACAGTGGGGGCAGGCAGCAATTAATATGTTCTAAAAATTTGCTGGAAATTACTTAGTAAGATGGAGCATAATGACTCAGATGCTGGTGTTTCATGAATGCAATATTAAAATTCCTTCTCTTAGTTTTAAAAACCATCCATACTTTTACTTTATGAATCACTGAGTGAACTAGTGTGAAGCCTCTTTTTGTAGGGAGTGGCAAAGAGTCTTATGAGTCTTGGGGGTGTAGGTGATGGAGTTATCTATGTGTGGGTTTCTGTGTGTGTTTGAATCCCTAGAGATCCTTGGTGCCCTGCTCTCCATCCTATGCATCTGGGTGGTGACTGGTGTGCTGGTATACCTGGCATGTGAGCGCCTGCTGTATCCCGATTACCAGATCCAGGCGACCGTGATGATCATCGTTTCCAGCTGTGCAGTGGCAGCCAACATTGTGTAAGTCAGCCCCTGTTCCCTGCACAGTGCCCATGAGGCTCACCTGTAACTATCTGGACAAAGACTTTTTGTAAAAACTCAGTACATGAGAAGATGGTAGAGACCTGACAGAGTGTTTGAATGGCTCAAGATTGAAAATAATGTTGACTGTTTTCTTTTAAGCTAAAGTGTGTTTTAATATTGGCTTCTGCTAGCTACCATGTTTTGAAAGCTTCTGGTGTGCCAGAGACAGGGCTAGGATGTTTGGATATACATTACCAAGTTAATGTTCACAACTCCCCTATATTATAGATTAGGAAGCTGAAGCTCAGAGAGGTTAAATACACTGCCGATTAAGTAGTATGGAGCCAGGATTTTAATCCAGATTCACAGACCCAGAATTGAGCTCCTTTACATTCTGCTCTTGTGCATGTTGATGGTTCCACATGGGGTGTGACTTACTTCTGTTCCATTCCTGTGAGGTGAGCAGATGATGGCTCCCAGTGAGCTGGGTTGGAACGGACTCTAAAATGTATTTATTTCAGTCCTCATTTTACTTTTGCATTCTCTTTAGCAACATTTCCATAAAATGGCTATTGGTTTCATATATTTTAATAGAACTTATAAAAGGAAATTTATTTCCCTAAAAAACAGTCTATTTTATCTTTGCAGCATTGTGACTGCATGAAAATTCTTCCTTGTGCTGTGTTAGCTAAATTCTCCCTTTAGTTTCAACCATTTGGTCCATTCTTTTATCTAGGCAGTCTTAAATCATTCTTACAGGAGAAGAGCACATGTTCTTTGCCAAATGAGTCTACCTTTCCCAAAATGAACTACTGGATTGCTCAGCAATGGGGTTTTGAGGCCTGGACTTTGATCTCGAGTCAAATTTCTCCTTCCCATTTGAGGGTCTAACTCTGGGCAATTCTACTTAAAACTCTATCTATATATCTATCTACCTACCTACCTACCTTCATACCTACCTACCTACCCATCTACCTATGCTGGTAGACATAATAATGACCCACTCCCCTACAAAGATTTAAACATCCTAACCCCTGGAACTTCTGAATATGTTTAATCACATGGCAAAAGGAGCTGTGCAAATGTGATGAAGGATATTAAAATGGGAGATTATCCTGGATTATCCTGGTGGGCCCACATAATGGCAAGCATCCTTATAAGACAGAGAAAGGAGATCAGAGAGGAAGAAAGACACTATATTTCTGATGTTGAAAATGGAGAAAGTTGTCTGGACCCAGGTGGCTTCCAGAAACTGGAAAAGACAGGAACATGAATTCCCTTCTAGAACCTCCAGAAAGGATGCAGTTCCAGAGACCCACTTAGACTTCTGACTTCCAGAACTATAATAAGTCTGTGTTGTTCTAAGTTGCTAAAGCATCATGGTAATTTGTTACAGAAGCAATAGGAAACTCAGTAGCATCTATTTATCATCTGGCTGTCTATCTTGCAATTCTACTTGATATATGCTACAAGGTAGATTTTTACATGAAGGTGAAGAATATCGTGATTGTACAATGAAGTTTTAAAAAGTGGATTTTAAGAGGAGGCACAATGGAATGTCTGGAATTCAAGAATAGCTGAGCATGTACACTTTAGAAAAAGTCCTCAGGTCATTCTAATAGCCTTGACTCTTGACATCTGTCTTAATCACCTCTCAATTTGTGAACCATTGTGCAAAATCTCTGAGCTAAATAATTAGAAGAATGGTGTTTGATCTGCTGTCACTAACTAGATCCCCATCTTCTGCCAGTTAACTTGAAAATGTGTTTCACATTGGCACTGGGAGAAAAAGTGTGAGTAGATCAATGTAAATCTATCACCTCTAGAAGACAAATATGCCAGTGCACACATTCTGCTGACTACAGGTCAATAATGTCATCTTTGCATAGAGAGAACAATATGATCTTGAGGCAAAAGGAAGAATAAAAGTATTAATTTCCTGAGAGTCATATGTCACACAGATTGTCTTGATGCTACACAAAGATGAAGGCTAAAAACCTACCCAACTATCACATTAATCTGGGGCCTCAAAGATCAGGTTTGATTTTCTAAACAGATATCATCCAAATTTTCTTGTAACTGCTTTTAAACATTGACCTTAACATTGTAGGTGCTTTTTACACTCAGAAAGTCAAGGCAGTTGGAAAGCTCTGCCTTCTTTGTGCAAGTAGATAGTTATTTATGAATAAAGATGCTAAGTGACTATAATATTTTGTCCAAGAATTGGGACTACAGGTTTCAAATGCTGCTAGATGCTGTATTGTCTGAATATAGAGATATCAGAACTGTGACTCAGGAATAAATCTATTCCTTGGAGACCCAAAATCAGGACAGAAAGTTCCAATAGGAGTTGCGAAGAGATTCTAGGATGAAGGTTATAAATAGAGCCTTAAGGCTATTGCCTGCTAAGTTTTCACTGCATGAAACATTTCCTCCCCTCAGCATATTTAACTGTAGCTTAAGCTTTTGAATTAAACTCAGCTGCTATGTCTTTCTAACTAAATCAGACTCCTCTGTTGTATCACTCATAGTACCAGTTCTTGGTGGACTTACTGAAATTAGATTTTTCTATTTATATCTGTGTGTGTGTGTGTGTGTGTGTGCGTGTGTGTGTGTAATCTTTACCTTCTCCGGCACATTTAAAACTACATTGGGGAGTGACCACATCTGTTTTCACTGACCTTTAGGGCCCAAGCTTTTACAAGTGTCTGCATATGAGTGAGTACAGAAGTTTTTTGTCTCTCTCTCTTTTTGTCAATAAGATGTGAAAAAAAATGAATGACAACATGATGAACACACATGGCAGATCAGATGAAGGTCTATGATCTGTCAGCCATATCAGGCTGTCTAAAGAACCTTAAATGGTAACTCTTAGTTGAGAGTAAATTTCTACCCAAACACTGAACATCTGAAAACTGTACATTCTGTAGTGATCAGATCTTGATGGCTAGTGGTCATTCCACTTTGTGGTGATGGCCTGAGATTTAACAGACACTCTACCTGAAAACAGAATGGGATACATGGTATTGAACAATATGTTGCTATTTTTAAACTTTTGTTCCAAAATGTTTACAAAAAGTTCAGGAAGGCAAAACACTCTGTTATCTGTCAGTGAAAATGTTCTAATTTTATCTCTAGTCTAATACCTCTTAAAGTTATAGATAAACAGAATTAGGTACATAATTTGTAGTGTCTACTGCTGATCACTTTGACTCAGAGAAGCGATGCTTGGCTTTGCAATATATTGTATATATGTATATATGTATATATATATATATATATATGTGTGTACAAATCCAAGATCATTTTAATATGTTAATATATTTCTACTTCTGGCTAAATAGCTTTTTATACATGAGCACAATACTCTCATCGTTGGACATTAAGAAATCATTCAAATTTCAAATTCTTAAGAAAATGCACAAAATTAAGCAAAATAAAATACAACCTCAATAAAATACACTACTTCTTATTTTATTTATTCCTTCCTGTGTTTTTTTTTTGGCATTTGAAACCAATACTTTTAATTAAGCTCCTGATGAAGCTTGGCTGTAAGCCAACTCAGTGCCTGACAGTTAGTAGACCTTCAATAAAGGAGATTTCCTCTCTTTATTGTCAAATGCTTGATTTTCATCTAAGAAGTGATGCTTTCCAGTTTCAATGTGAAAAGAGAAACATTAGGAGGATGAATGAGTAAACAGGGTGCATCTTTGTAGTTTTCTTTTGTATAAAAGTATTAAAATTCTATGACGTGTATTTAAACATTAGTCAAAAATAGTTCTTTTTAAAGGATAAATATTTTAACTATCCATCATTTTGGATAATGCATGTTATTGCCAGCTCTTTCAATATGCTGCCTACATTTTTAAGACTAATCTCATGTGTGCCAAGAACATTGTTCTCTCTTTCAGACTAACTGTGGTTTTGCACCAGAGATGCCTTGGCCACAATCACAAGGAAGTGCAAGGCAATGCCAGCGTCAGAGCTGCTTTTGTTCATGCCCTCGGAGATCTATTTCAGAGTATCAGTGTGCTCATTAGTGCACTGATTATCTACTTTAAGGTGAGCTTGTTTGAGTTTACCCACCATCATAGTACTTAACTTAAAAGAGAATGGACATCCTATGTTTACCTATACAAACTACTTTGCAAAGCTAAAGCAAGCAAACAAACACTCAACCATGGTGTTAAGATGAACAGCAACGAAACTGAACACCTTAGGGTTCTTGGGTTATAAGCAATAGGAAACATCTCTGGCTCACTCTAGCAAAAAGTATATTTATTGTCCAAAATCGACTGGATGTACTCCTAGACAGATATCAAAGTAGAAATAAGGGCAAATTTTGGTATTTAGAGTTTAGAAACGATCCAACTTCTGTCCTAGACGCCATGCTGAAGTATATGTGTCTCAACAAATGTTTTTGCTGTTTATGTCACTTCTGAAGATTGATATTTCTGTGAATGTGAGTCCAATCAACCTAGGTTGTGTCTTGTATCTGCTGCTTGGCTGGAGGGAGGTTAGAGTACCTGATTTATTGTTCCACCTGTATTGCCCACAGTGGGGGAGAGGTAACCTCTCCCCCAAAAGCCAAGGTGCTAATGAAAAGTTGGAATGAATCCCTGGTAAGCCTCTGACCCTAAACAAATAAATATTCACTATAGATCTCTACCTGGTAATACTGATAACAGAGGTGGGTTGGCGGGCAGAGAATGGAGAAGAGCATTTAGTTCTGCCTATTTGCATCACAATTATTCAATTTGCAAAGGCTTGCTGCTTTTCCTAAAAAAGTGAAAACATGTAAATAAAAATTACAAAGACATATCTAAATTCAGCTGAGCAAAATGATCGCTGAAAGCTTTAAGTCTAAGGCAAAACTAGTTCAAAATTGTAAGGGTAAGTGGAGTTTGAGAGTCCACTTACAAAAGTTGAGTTGATGATGAATTTCTTAAAAATAGTAGGGCACAAACTTTTCTATGGCATAGAATTTCATCAAGGGTAGAAAGGCAGACGTTTCACTCTGAGGCTAAGGGTTACAGTGAGGAGACTGAGCAAGGATGACACTTTTGTTCACACCCTTAAGACTGCATCAAAGATGCCAGCCTTGAGTATGTGCAACACTGGAGAGGCAAAGAAATAAACTCACCCCAGTCAACCAAGAGCATAGTCCAGCTGTATGTTGGCCATATGCAATTCCTGAACAAATAATATCCTTTCTTCTGCTCATTATAATTAAGGCCAAAAAGTCATTGGATCTTGTGGGCATATTTGTACATACTTTCATCACATACTCCATGCTTTTATTAATTTGTAAGAAGTTAAATCAGGACTCCTGAGAGACAACTTAAGAATATTCTTCCTTTTAGTTCTTAAATTATGGGGAGAGCATGTCTTGTAGTCTCACTTCTTTATATGCTGGTAGTTTAAAGCTAAAAGAAAGGATTGAGTCTTCAGAAACCAAGTCTTGTCTCTGAGTTGGATGGCACATGTTGAAAGGGTGAATGAGTCATGGAGAAGGAAAGACAGGGAGGTTTACTTAGTTTATTAGTCAGACTTTCTGGAAGAGAGGTATGAATTCAGTTAACCAAAATCCCTGTCTTTTCTAGCCAGACTATAAAATAGCCGACCCAATCTGCACATTTATCTTTTCCATCCTGGTTTTGGCCAGCACCATCACTATCTTAAAGGACTTCTCCATCTTACTCATGGAAGGTAGGAGTGATTTTATTATTACTCCCAGAGTCAATATTTTCTCTTCCCTAGAATCACAGAGGAAAGGCATGTTCACTGTTAATTTGTATTATGGGAAAAATTTAAAGTGATAAGGAATTTTTGTGAAAACAAACATTTTCTTTTTTTCATATGGGAACAAATAAAAATAACTGGCTTCTATTTTTGCTCTAGCAACTGTTATGAACTATCTCACAGTGTGAAAACAGTAAGTACAAACATCATGAGGAGATACTGGGAAAATATAAATTATTTCTTAAGTATACCTGGAAAAGACCAACGAAAAATTACATAAACTTACCCCTCAGGCTGCATTAGAACTGAACATTTTTATCAAATTGTATCTCAGAGTGGAAGAACACCAGGGTCACCCTTTATTTATTTGCCCAGCAAGTGTTTACTGAGCCTCAACTCTGTGCTGGATAGTGTGCTCAGAGCTAGAGTTACAGAAACGAGCAAAGCAGAACATAGCTCTCTTCTGAAGTTCTGGGCCGTAGTGTGCTATGAGGTTCAGGTGTCTGCACTAAGTTCAACATCAATATGGCCTCCTGGGAACAGGGTACCACTAGGTTGTCTAAGGAAGGGTGAGCTGACACAGATCAGAGACAGAGCAGGTCAAAGCTCTTGATCAGAAGTGGGACTGTGCCTGTGAATAGCCACTGCCCAACAGCCTGGGCAACACAGTGAGACCCCATCTCTTAAAGTATAGTAAAATAAAATATAGGCTGGACTCAGTGGCTCATGACTGTAATACCAGGAGTTACAGTTTGGGAGACTGAGGCGGGATGATTGCTTGACTCTGGGAGTTTGAGACCAACCTGGGCAACATGACAAAACCTCATCTCTACAAAAAATATGAAAATATTAGCTGGGCATTGTGGCACATGCCTGTAGTCTCAGCTAGTCAGGAGGCTGAGGTGGGAGGATTGCTTGAGCCTGGGAGGCAGAGGCTGCAGTGAGCTGAGATGGTCCCACAGTACTCCAGCCTAGGTGACAGAGTAAGACCCTGCCTCAAGAAAATAAAATAAATAAAATAAAAGCTCTGTCCTTATGGGTATAATACTTTAATAAGGGGAGAAAGAGTTTATTCAAAAAATGACACGACATACAATAGTGGGAAGTGCTACAAAGAAGAGGTGTGGGCCTTTTATTAGAGATCTTAACGTGGCTGGAAGCAGGGTGATCCCAGACGCTTTGCTGAGGCCGACTCTTAACCCTGAGCAGGATCTTATGTTATTAACCTCATCATCTACAGCCTCATTTTCATTATCCTCGACTACTTTCCTGGGCCTCTGAAATTTTTGTCTGGCTCTTTGAGTCTTCCAACTCTCCAGGGATAGATGACATAACCCTCACTGCAAAGAAAGTCGTCCTTAGGCCTAAAGCTTACTGCCTGCCTCTTCTCTCCCATTTGGCAGTTAGTGACTTTCTTTTCATTTGGCATAAAATGGTTGAGAAACTACGGGTTTCTGCCCTTTCTAGGCTACATGCTTACTAGAAGAGTGAGCTCAGAGAGACACATCATACAGTTGAAAAAGCAAAGTCTTTGTATCAGACCCACCTCAGTTTAAATGCTAGTCATGCAAGTTTCTAGCTGTGTGACCTCAATCTCCTCTGAACTTCAATTTCTCAACTCAAAAATGGGAATATCACATCCACAATACAGTGCTGTTAGGAGGATTAGATGAGATAAATGGCATTATGTCTAGAACACAGTAGGAGCTCCGTAAATATAAACTCTCAGCTAGTATTTTGGGTTGACTAGAATATAGGAAATATGAAGCTACATTGTAGAGTTGAACACTGTACTGCATATGTATCTGCACCCCAAGAAATTCCCAATTCTTGGTTATAGACTGTGGCCATAGCCCTGGTCAGCCGTTGATGCTGATGGCCTCAGAAGGGCCAGATAAGAGAGTCTTGATCAGAATAAATCTATTTTCATTACTAGAAGAACTATTCAGTGGTGTTTGGAATGGGAGAACTACTGACTCCCATTGACATTATCTTAGAATATTAAAGTATGTCAGAGAGTGATATCAGCAAGATGGCTCACTAGAGATGTCTGGGACTAGTCCCCCTAACAAGAAAGGACCATGGCAACAAATAACCAAAGAAGATTTGAGCGGAGTGTCAAAGGGAGAGTGTGGGAGTGCAATCTAGGTGTCCAACAATAGATGAATGGATCAAGAAAGGGCAGTATATATACACAATGGAATACTATTCAGCGATAAAAATGAATGAAATTGTCTTATTTTCAGCAACATGGACGGAACTGGAGGACATCATGCTAAGGAAAATGAGCCAGGAAATGAAAGTTAAACACCACATGTTTTGACTGATATGTGGAAGCTAAAAAAAAAAAAAATTGTTCCCATAGAAGTAAAAAGTAGAACAGATAGCAGAGGCAGGGAAGGGGAAGGGGAAGGGGAAGAGGAAGAGAAGGATAGGGAGAGTTGTTAAAGGATGTGAAGCTCTAGTGAGGTAGGAGGAATAAGCTCTAGTGCTCTGTAGCACCGTAGGATGACAAGAATATAGATAACAATAATATATAGTTTCAAACAGCTAGAAGGAAGATGTTAAATGTTCCCAACACAATGAAATGATAGATGTATGAGATGATGAATTTGTTAATTTCCCTAATCTGATCACTATACATTATCTGTATGGCAACAGCACTGCGTCCCATACATACGTACAATTATCATGTCAATTTAAAAATGTTTAAAATGTAAAACTGAGGTATATTATAGACTTAAGGTAATTGATTACATTTACAAGGTGATTTATCATTGCTACACTGATCATTTGTAATTAACAAATGATATTATTTTCTATCCTATATTCTAGGAAAATAGGTATTATGAAGAACTTGCCTAAAATACTTATTGGATTAACCCAACAGTTCTCAAACTTCAGTGGCATCAGAATCTCTTGGAGGGTTTATTAAAACACAGATAACTGAGCCCACTCCCACAGTTCTTGAGTCAGTATTATGGAGGAGTAGGAGGGGCAAGAATTTGAATTTCTAACAAGACGCTGGTGCTGCTGGTCCCAGTATAATACTTCAGGAACCACTGGACTAATTTTTTTGTACCACTGAAGGGATTCCTACATGCTGGCCCTGGGAATGGCACCTGTAAATTCAGTCAGAGCTTGAGGTTTACATCACATCAAACATCCAGATGATTGAAATATCCTGACATTAGCTGAATTTTTTTTTTTTTGTCCAGCACATTTTGACATAAGGTATATCTGGTCTCAGAGTGCAATTGCCTTCGGTGACAGCTCACACTTCATCAGCGTTCACTGCTAAGTATACATTTAAGGGTTTGTTCTCGGTGGGCACTATAATTGTTGAAAGATGAGAGTGTTAACAACAATGAAATGGATAATGGAGTCAAATGTCACAGAGTAACAGTGAATTTTCTGGCTCTAAACATGAGAATATTTGGTTTGTCAAGTCACAGAAGCATCCATTTTCTTTCCTGAGGAACAAGTGCTAAGCTGCAGCTGTTGTTGCTATTATGGAAGTTATTGACTTAGAGGAAGATAAAAGACAAGCTGGTGTACAATTGGAAATGACTTATATGCCACTTTTTTTTTTTTTTTTTTTTTTTTGGTCTCACTACAACTTTTCCCTGGTGATTATCTTTCTTATTTTACTTCAGGAAAAGTGCAGAGACTGGGCTATCTTAGCTAATTATAGAAACTGGCAGATAACTCCTTTCTGGAAGACACTTACTTTTTAAATTAGGTTTTCAAATTATATTAGTATAATACTTGGAAAAATTTAAAAATAATATAAAAAGTATGAAATAATTTTAAAAAGTCTCCTCATATTTTCATCTTGGATTTCTCAGTCCCATTCTTCAGGGGTAATACCTATTAATAAGTTGATATTTATTTTTTCAAAGATATTTGTGCATTTGCATATATATACATGTATATGTGTATGTGATGTATACATGTATCTTTTTTTTATAAAAGTGGATTACATATTGATTCACATTTTTCTCTACACCTGACATTTTTCACTTGGAGATCTTTTGTATTAACACACATATAGATATACCCCATTCTTTTTCACAGCTGCAGTTACTCCACAGCATGGAAATACTTGCTTGTGCTGGACATTACAAACAATGATGTAATTACCACTCTTGTACATATATATTTTTAGCACTTATATATTTGTGGAATAATTCCTAGAAGTGATATTGCTGTTTCAAACCTTACATGCTGTATTTGTCTGTTTTTGTACTGTTCATAAAGATGTACCTAAGACTGAGTAATTATAAAGAACCAGAGGTTTAATGGACTCACAGTTTCACATGGCTGGGGAGGCCTCACAATCGTGGCAGAAGGCAAAGGGGGAGCAAAGTCACACCTTACATGGCAGCAGACAAGAGAGCTTATGCAGGGGAACTCCCATTTATAAAACCATCAGACCTCATGAGACTTACTCACTACCATGAGAACAGTATGGAGGAACTGCTCCCATGATTCAATTATCTTCACCTGGCCCCTTGACACATGGGGATTATTACAATTAAAGGTGAGATTTGGGTGGGGACACAGCCAAACCGTATCACATGCATTTCAAAATTTGATAGATATTACCATTTCTACCAAAGATACAGTATCAATTTCTTTCCCTCCAACAGCATATGAAAGTGCCACTTTCCTTACATCATCATCACCACTGAGTATTATCAAACTGTTCATTCTTTTCTACTGATAGGTGAAATATTGTATCTTATTGATTTCAAATGCAATTGTTTAATTATGAATGGTGTTCAGTGGTTTTTAAAATACGCTTACAAGTCTAGGATGTTATTTATTAAACATGATTTTAGATATTTTCTTGGATGCATTAATATTTTTCCAGACTCTTCCCCAAGTAAAAGAAAGTTCTAGATGTGATGGAGCATTGAGGCCAGTGGGGCCATGCCTCTTAGCTGGCAACATTATTTCTTTCATTTTTTTTTTTTTTCCAAGATGGAGTTTTGCTCATGTTGCCCAGGCCCAAGTGCAATGGCGCAATCTTGACTCAATGCAACCTCTGCCTCCTGGGTTCAAGTGATTCTCCTGCCTCAGCCTCCCTAGCAGCTGGGATTACAGGCATGTGCCACCATACCCAGCTAATTTTTCTATTTTTAGTAGAGACAGGGTTTCTCCATGTTGGCCAGGCTGGTTTCGAACTCCTGACCTCAGGTGATCCACTTGCCTTGGCCTCCCAAAGTGCTGGGATTACAGCCATGAGCCACCACACCCAGCAGCAACATTAGTTCTTATAATAAAATAAGTCATGGTGGACCTGTGTTCTCTGTAATAGTAATGAGATGGAGACAAGAGAAAAAAAGGGTAGTAGGATCATGACTTAATTTCAAAGGTCCTAGATGAATGACAGCGGGTCTTCAGTTGGTCAACAGAAATTCCCCAAAGAGAAGATACACATTAGGAATAATAAATGAGATTTTGATTGCAATTCCTAGACTCTAATATTTGCATAACACCTTATACTTAGAGCACAGATGCTGGGATCTGATATCACTGATTCTGCCACTTCTCTGTGTGGCCTTAGCCATGTTCCTTAATCTAACTGACCCCAATTCCTCTCCTATAGTTAAATAAGAATTGTAACCTTAATAGCTAGCTCCTAAAGTTTTTAGGACTATTAAATGAGATAATTGCTATAAGTAAAGTACTTAGCACAAACCTTATACATAGTGAGTCCTCAATAAAAGTTTGTTATTATTACTATAACAATTTTACCCATGACTTTATTCCAATTGTGTGGTTCATTTGAGACAAGAACTTCTTTCATCTGCTTCTAGGAGCCTAGGTCTTTTGCCACTCATAGAATAAAATAGTGTGACGACTAGCTCTTTGTTACTTCCCCAAACAGTATGAGGTAGGAGTAAAAACTCAGCTCATACTGTAGAGAATTTTGAGTTAAATCCAAGGAGGAAATCCCCCATGAGCAAGGTTATTTATGCCTAGTGTTCCATTATTGGAATGCTAAGCATGTGGGAGTTATTTATATCCTACTGCTCAAGGTCATTGCCAAGGTCTGATTGTAAAAATTCAAAATATTGCAATCTCAGACATAAATGGGTTAAATTTTTAAAAAGGAGGGTTAAGGATTCCTCATTTCTCTAAGTAGATGGTTCTCAGCTCTAGCTGCTCATTACAATCCTCTGGGAAGCTTTTAAAAAATACTTATGCTCAGGCCTTCCATATCCAGTGTATCAGGCTGTTCTCACATTGCTATAAAGAAATACCTGAGATGGGGTATCTTGTAAAGAGATTTAATTGGCTCATGGTTCTGCAGGCTGTACAGGAATTCTGGGGAGGCCTCAAGAAGCTTCTAATAATGACAGAAGGCAAAGAGGGAGCAGGCACATCACATGATGAGAATGGAGCAAGGGCAGGGAAGTGTCACACATTTTTAAATGACCAGATCTTGCAAGAACTCACTCATTATTGCAAAGACAGCACCAAGCCATGAGGGATCAGCCCCATGACCCAAACACCTCCCACCAGGCCCCATCTCCAGCACTGAGGATTAAAATACAACATGAGACATTGGCAAGGACAAACATGCAAACTTATCACCCAGAGATTCTGATTTAATTGTCTGGGTTTGGGGCTGGCTTTGGTATTTTTAAAAACATGTAGTCAGGCTTGAGAACCACTGCAAAGCAGAGCTGTGCAGTGTCTCATGAATGTTAGTGCAGTGGTTCTCAATCTTGGCTGCCTGATAGAATCACCAAATGAGCACTGACATTGGGCCTATCCACAGAAATTCTGATTTAATTGGTCTTAGGTATAACTTGGTCATCAGGATTTCCAAAATCTCCTCTGGTAATACTAATGTGCATCCAAGGTTGAAAACCACTCTGAAAGACTCTAGATTTCAGAACTTCATTCATGGAAATTTCCTTTAGGTCTGGAATGGAGTCATAGTATATTTATTTTTAATTAACACCCCAGGTATTTGTGTTGTTTGTACATAACTGAAGTAGAGGCTAAAAAAGGGCTGTACTTAGATATCTCTGCTACAGCATCCTCCAATGTAGCTAAAATAATGGAAAACTTACAAACCAAATAAGAGTATTATATAATGTTAAGATCCTCTATTAGCCCAGTTCACTAAATGACCTGTTGGGTAACTAACATTTGTACAACATTGCCGTTCATAATGATTAAATATTTTCTGAATTGCTCCTCAAAGGTCTCTGTGATCTATGTGTTGTTCTTATCACCCTTATTTTACTACAGATGTGCTGAGGATCAGAGATCTGGGATTTGGGTAAACTGACAAATGTTGTCATCAGGATGCTAACTCATGATTACTTGATGTCAAATTTCATGTTATTACTTCATTTTGCTTTTCAGAGTGTATATAAAGATAGTTGGGAAAGGCATAGTTAGTTTAATAATATGCCATAAAAACTAAGGATAATTACTGTTGTTGATTACTGCATAGTAAATTCTGCTAGCATTCTGAGTGGGAACTTTTGATTGATGGTAAACTTTGAAGCACTCAGGTAAATCTTATTTGTAAACATTTGAAGTAAGAAACCAGCACAGATGAGCATGTGGAAATTTTGGTGAGGATTCTGCCACTTGTTTAGGTAACTCAATGAGCTGTATTTCGTTGAATAACTACAGCCTCCATCTCTTACCTTTTGTCAGGTGTGCCAAAGAGCCTGAATTACAATGGCGTGAAAGAGCTTATTTTAGCAGTCGATGGAGTGGTGTCTGTGCACAGCCTGCATATCTGGTCTCTAACAACGAATCAAGTAATTCTCTCAGCTCATGTTGCTACAGGTCAGTGAGTTTTGTAAACACCCTGGAAAAAATTCAGTCTTTGTCTTGTAAAGTCAGTAATTTCCCTCCTTTTTGTAGAGCTGCCCTTATTGTCTGTTGCCTGTTGAAACACTATAAAGTGTTTTCTATTCCCAAGGGCCTTTGAAACCAACCCACTTATTGATGTTGTCATAGCAACAATGATACCCAACTGACAACCTTGGGACTGACTACAGAGGGCAGAGGACAGACAGAACAAAGGGCTAAAATGTGACCCCAACCTCAACGCCTGGGACTCTGAAAATTCAACTTCATCTGTTTGGCTTGGTGCCCTATCAGTCAAATAGTAGGAATGAATGAAAAACTTAATCTTAATTGAGTATCTCCTATATAAGATGTTTTTCCTAGCACTGAAAGTAGAAAGATGAAAGAAACACAGGCCCCACTCTTAAATTTCTAACAAGCTAATGGAAGTGCTAATAGGAATTGTGGTGTGTCCCACACTGTATGGTTAGAAATTCTGTAGCCATGTGAGATAATTCTTATAATATTAGACTTATAGTAAAAATTACTTCTTCAAGAAGTTAATTTTGTCTCCGATATATCCTAGAGCTGGGAGGATAGGCAGTGGGAGGGCATTTACTGCCTCAAGAGAAAGCTCAGGCCAAGGATAATACATTAGACTGCTAAAAAATGACTCAAGAAGTTACTTAGGGACAGGGGGCAGGAACACCAGTGACAGTCATTTGAAAACTGTGCTTTCTCAGACATCCTCATCTTCTCGAAGGGACTCAGATCTGACTTTAGGGAATTTACATCATTCACTATGCCAATATTTCACTGCAAATGGAAGAATCTAGTAAACACTCAGGTTGCCATGGAGGGGACTTTACAGCCTGCTGATAGCATTTGTGACAGGAAAAAAAATGGTAGTGAGGTTGCTTCTCTAAGAAAGGTCTGTGGGGAGCTCTAAATGCTTCCTGGTTCCTGTCACTATCCTTGATATAAATTCTGATTACTTACAAGGCCTGAAACCCAGAGATCCCTGGGAGCTGGTGAGCAGGGCTGTATAAGAAATAATAGTTCTGTCTTGGCTTTTTCCAGGGCTTGTTTCTCTTTCTATCCAAAGCTCCTAGCAATGACAGACTCCTGAGATAACAGTGGACAGAAAGAGTTCCCATAGTGACAGGGCACTTTGCTGCACTAGAGTTTCCCCTGCCTTGTCTGTGTGAACGTCGCTGATTATCAGTGCCAACCTGGCTTCCTCTGAGTGCCCTGCCTCTTCCCTACCCCGGAAGGTCAAAGACAAAGTACTTGAAGTTGGAGTCACAGCAGTCACCCATGTGTGTGCAATCAGTGCTAATCTCCCTGTGGTTCTTTATCAACAGCAGCCAGCCGGGACAGCCAGATGGTTCGGAGAGAAATTGCTAGAGCCCTCAGCAAAAGCTTTATGATACACTCACTCACCATTCAGTTGGAATCTCCAGTGGACCAGGACCCAGACTGCCTTTTCTGTGAAGACCCCCGTGACTAGCTCAGTCACACTGTCAGCTTCTCATATTTGACAGGCCACCTCCAAACATACTGCTATGCAGTTTCTACATCACAGAAAATAAGGAATCAAAGGAAGAAATTTAAGGAAGTCATGTTATGGCACAATGCGCATTTTATCTATTTATTTAGCTCCATCCACCATGAAGGAAGAGGCACTGAGATCCATCAGTCAATTGGATTATATACTGATCAGTAGCTATGTTAATTACAGGAACGTGTATATAGATTATTCCTGAGTGGAGCCAAACTAACAGCTGTTTGTAACTATTGGCAAATCAAAATTCATCTCCCTTCCAATAATGTCTCTTGAGAACACATAGGTAAATTTGAACTCAGGAAAGTCTTACCAGAAATCAGTGGAAGGGACAAATAGTCAAAAAATTTTCCCAAAACACGAAAAACAAAAAATAAAGAGAGTCAACTCAGGAATAAAAGTGACTCTGTATGCTAACATCCCATTAGAACTTGGTTCTCTCACCAAGCTATAATGTAATTTTTTTTCCTACTCTTAATTGGACATATGTATGAATATACAGAGAGGCAGGTACAACTAATTTTTATTGTCACATTTTGGCAATAAATCCCTCTCATTTCTAAATTCTAACCTGTTTACTTCAAAACTTTACATAATCACTGTTCAAAAGGAAATATTTTCACCTACTGGAGTGCTTAAACACCAGCAACAGCCAAAGAATGTGGCAGAGACTCAGAAATCTTCAAGAACAGCCGACAAAAGCATTCGAGTTGACCCCACCAAGTTGTTGCCACAGATAATTTAGATATTTACCTGCAAGAAGGAATAAAGCAGATGAAACCAATTCATTCAGTCCATGAGCATGATCTGAGCACTGCTTTGTGCTAGACATTGTGCCTAGCATCAGAACTATAAGGAAGAATCAAATGCACCAAGTGCTTCTATGTCCTGGTAGCAACTCAACACTATCCGTGGAGAGTAAACTAAAGATGTGCAGGCCAAAATTCTGGAAATCCTATGTCAATGGGTTTGGATTGGAACCTGGACTTCTGCATTTTTTTAAAAAAATTTACCCAGAGATACTTCTAAAGATGAGCTATGGTGTAGAAGATTGTCAACCACAGGAGGTCGTTGAGTGGGACAGCTAGACACATACACAGGCAGCTACAATAGTATCCTGAATTGCAATGATGTATTCGGGTATAAAAGGAAAGTGATGGATATTGCTGGATGGGCATGGCCAGTGAGATTTCATGTCATTGAGGTGACAGCCATGCTGGACTTTGAATTAAATATGAAGGCTTTCCAGGCAGACGAAGAAGAGAAGGACATTCAAGACAAGAGGAAGGCTATGTGCAAGGCACACTTATGTGTGTCTGTTAACTCTTAGTTGGAAAAGCAAAATTCATGGTGCAACAAAAACTGTTTTATGATTTTTTAAAACTATATACTTTTTGCAACTTTATGATTATGAATAGTATAGAGAACAGGAGATAGGTCTTAGGTGATTTTTATGTTGTTGTCAGTCTCTAGCAGGGTGCTAGAAACCTAGCAGGCATTAATAATTGTGGAGGCAATGACTCTGAGGCTTATATCTGGGGCTTGTCATTATTTATCATTTATATTTGTATTTCCTTCTGAAATTTGAGAGCCAAGAAAACACTGACTTTGACTGAGGAGGTCACATCTGTGCCATCACTGTAAATCAATCAGCACCACTGAAATAGCTACTTAGCATTCTGCTGAGCCTTCCCTGCTCAGTTGAGACAAATATACTCATCCCCCACCTCCATGAGCATGTTTAGGCAACCAGGATTAGAGCCGCTGAGGTTCCCAACGTCTCCTGCCACACTGGGTTCTCAAAATGGAAAGAATGGTTTATGCCAAATTGTTTTTCCTGTCTCAAGGACCACTGAATGGTTTTGCTTTTCCCTATTTTGCACAGGACAAGGCCCTAAAGATCAGGTGACTTGGCAAACACGCAAATTTTAGAGTAATTTTTTGCTTCTGCTTCCTTTTGAAAATAATGTTTAGATTTGATTTTATGTCAGAAATTCACTGAAGAATTCACAAAGTCATAGGTCACTGGGAGGGAGATTTGCATATCAACCAAAGGAATTGGCCCATGGCCCCAGGATGTTTCTGTTGTTTACCTGAAATTCTGCTTTTTAAGTCAGCTAGATTGAAAAATCCAAACAGTAGATGTTTTGTGGCAAAATGCAAGACAATCTCCAATGGAGATTTTAAGGATTTTGAGACGGAAAAGCAGATGTTGCTAAGGGGCTTTATGCACCATCCATCAATTCTGAAGTTCTGACTCTTCCCTTACTCTTCCCCTGGTGTGGTCAGAGCTCCAGGCCACCAGAAGTTAGTGGAATAATGTAGTTGAATTCTTTACTTCATGGCACTGTATTCTCTCCAGCCGTCAAAATGTTAATGATCTTTTATGTCTTTCACAGCAACACTCTATTCCTCTGAGTAGTGAAATCAGGTCAACTTTATCACCACCCTTCATTTTTAATATACTTCACCATCACCCAGCACCCACTTAAGATTTATCTAGGGCTCTATGGTGATGTTAGGACCCATAAAAGAAATTTATGCATTCCATATGTTTGGTTACAGATGGGAAATGGGAATGTTGAAGGACAGGAAAGAAACAATGTTTACACATTAAGCATCAGTTCTGAAGCTAGATTGCCTGAGTTTGAATCTTAGCTCTTCCCTTTATTGGCTCTGTGACCTCGAGCTAGTTACTTTAATGCTCTGATCCTCTATTTCCTGATCAGTAAAACCTCCCTATTCAAATGAGTGAGAGTTTAATAAATTAGTACACTTATAAAGGTTGGAGCTGTGCATAGCATGTAGTTAGCGTTCAGTACATATTGTTTTTTTTATGATATACAAACATGAGTGAGCACAGAATTTTAAATCATCTCAACTTTTAAGAAATTTGGGTTATCAACACAGTTCCATGAGAGTGGCAAAATTATTGGTGAAAATTAAACAGCTGTTTCTCTGAGAAAGCAATGGAGGCTTGTTGAGATGAAGGCATTTACTGAGAGGCTGTTACCTAGTGGGAGTAATGAATTAATTAAAATAGTTGAATCCCTTTCTGACTGTCTCTGAAAGCTTCCACTTTTATCTTTGAAGAGCAGAATTGTCACTCCAAGGACATTTATTAACAAAAAGTACAACTGTCCAGTTCAATGAAGGCAAAGTCATAGGTCTCCCAAGTCTTACTCTATTCCTGTGAAATATCACGTCCTTGGCTTTTCTCTATCAGGTAGCCTCAACTTTCTCTGACCAGGTGCATTTCCTTCTCTGGTTTCTAAGCTGCCTATGGCAAATTTGGATCACTTAGTAACTGTTACATTTTGTGACCCAACAAAGTCTTTTAACACTGTGGTGTCAAAAAGAAAAACACCTCCTGGGCGTATACATTTTACAGATTACTAAAGAATGTTGCTCTCCAGCTCCAACCCAACCCAACGAAATATGATCCAGAGAGCCTTACAAAAGAGACAATCCTCGTTTTCCACAATTAGCTCTAAAGTGCCTCCAGGAAATGATTTTCTCAGCTCATCTCTTTGTATCCCCTGTTTTGGATCACAGGGCAATCTGTTTAAATGACTAATTACAGAAATCATTAAAGGCATCGAGCAAATGTCATCTTTGAATACATACGTCCCAAGTTTTACAAATCCTGCTTGGCTTGACAGTGATGAGGCCACTTAACAGTCCAGCGCAGGCGGATGTTAAAAAAAATAAAAAGGTGACCATCTGCGGTTTAGTTTTTTAACTTTCTGATTTCACACTTAACGTTTGTCATTCTGTTACTGAGCACCTGTTTAAATTCTATTTTAAAATGTTAGTGTGTGTTGTTTAAAACAAAATCAAGAGAGAGAGAGAGAGTTTGGGTTAAGTCATCATCTTTTTATCACCAAAATCATGACAGGATATGTTTTTCATGACACCAGTGAGGACTATAATGAGAATACACTCTTTCACTCTCAATCGTTTGTTGGAAGAAATAACACATTTGGGGAGCATATTTGTCTAAGAGAGATGGAAGATAATGTGTTAGAATCAGGAGTGCTTTTGAAATCATCCTGGTCATGGGCATAAAACCCCAAGGGGGGAAGGAGATGATGGTCAGAGGTGGTAGGAGCCCTTGACAGTTGTAAAAAACAAACTTGTGCTTCTCTAACCTTAAAGCCAGGAAGTGATGTGATGTCAAGCTGAATTGCAGCCCTTTCAGCAGTGTCAATCATGTCCTGGAAACAATGTATCACTATAATTGCCATATATTTCCCTTCTTCAAAGGGGTGCCCATTTGTTAAAAACATAATTATCCTACTTTAAAACCATATGGTGGTTATACACAGTCTAATAGTACTACCAAACATTATTTCCCTGGATCTGTAGAGTTTAGGAGTGTTTTGGGGTATTGCAGAAGAAAGGGCACCAGCTGTACTAAAGATATTGTAAACCATGGTGAGTTAACCTGTACAATGGAATTAGGATCAGATGTGAATTTAGGGTCTCCTTTGAAGTTAAATTGCATTCTTCAAATGGGAGCCAGTAAAGATTTAATGAACCAATACTCTGGTTTGTTCCTAACTCCTCTTCCATTTTCATGGAGATGAAGGGGAGCTTTATTGGGCATATACAATGATGAACAAGAATTTCTGTTACTGCCTTATTCTCCTCTCCAAAATTGCCTCTGACATGGTAAAAGTCCATGGTCAGAAAAGTAAGAATACTCTGTATTGGCATTTCTTTACAGCAATATTTTCTATGAATAATTAATGGCCCAGAAAGATAAAGTCTTTTTTTCTGGTTTCCACCTTCTCATAAAGTTCAGCACCTTGTATCAACTTGGGTGAGGAAACGAGAGTTCAGATTTCCCTGGCTCAGTAAGCTCTGAATTTATAAACAAGAATCACATTCCCTTTCCATTCAATTTCTAATCCTTTATAAAGATAAAGCTGTGGAGAGGATCTTTCAAGATCTTAGATTAGATAACTTTTCATGTTCTAATAAGAAAGTTCTCAGGGGAGCACTGTGATCAAACATAGCTGATGAGAACATATAATTATTTTTATTCTTTTCCTTATCCTCCTTGCTTTCCTATTCCTCCTCCTTCTCTTCTCCCTTCATCTTGGTAGCTCTTAAACACTGTAGAATTTATCACTTATCCTTCAACAATAGAATATTTTATCTGAGAATAAACATTTGCACAATAGTACAGATATTGCAATATATAAATTTTGGAAAAAAAACCCTCAAATCCTATATCCTGAGACTTTTAGTTCATTAATTCAAAATTTATTCAACAATCAACTGCAAGTCAAAACAACATCAGGGAGTACAATATTGCTTAGATAAGTTTTTATTTGTCCAGAAGACTTTTATTAATATTTGAGATTAAAAAATTACTAAATTGCTAAATCCTAAGGATCCTGAAAAAGTCAATACTGATATGGTAGGCATTACCTTTAGGAAGTCAACACACCTGCATTTCTTCTCTCTTGACAAATATATTTCATAAAGATACTGTTCAGATGTAATCAAATCATGGAATAATTTACATTTCCTGATGAAATTTTCCTGTTTATTCCAGAAGTTGGTAGGTATTTCGCTTCATTTTCCTTCTCTCATTACTGAGATGCCACTTACTGCATTGTACAATGGTAAATATTGCGGAATGATGTGAGTGGTTGTGTTAGGCTTGGACTGTTAGGAGTACTGGAATAGATCTCAGAAGCAGAGCCAGGAAAGGTTAGAGG